ATTAAGATTTAAATAAATGGAAGCAATTTTTATACCTAGATAAAAGTTGTAGTTAATATTTGTGCATTTATGAATAATAGTTATATATTATTATAACTATTATATTATGTTATAGTGTATCTGAAGAGCTGAAAGGTTGGAAAGAGAAAGTTCTATAATGTAAGCAGAAGCCTTACACTCATATAACTGCATACATATAATCATATAATAAATACATAAAATATTCCAAATGCCTTAGTAGATACCATAGTTTTTTTTCTTTTTGTTTTAAAATTAACAATGAGTTTTAAATAGTACACTTATTTTCCTTCCATGAGTCTAGTACCATTGTGTTATCTATCCTCCTATCTCCATGGACACAGTCCCTCCTGAAACCTGTGTGACTTATTTTGTGCCAACTTTTGAGAGTCAGAAAATGCATTAATGACTCTTGAATATAGGCCAACAGGGACCTTTTGTTTTTTCACTGCTTGTTTAGTTTAGCTTTATTTTTTAAGGGTTATGCTTGACATTGTTAAATTACTTCTTACTCTCATAATGTTTTTAGAATATCATTTCCTCTAACAGTGAATGAGTTCTTGATGTTACCCATCTCTTAGAGTCATTGATATTCTGTATTCAATGATGGAGATAGTAATAAAATACTTGAGGGCTGATAATAGCACTAAGCCTGTTGTGAGGAAGCCCATGCAACTTGTTGGGGATGAAAATTGCTGACAGCTCTATACATTGGCAGAATTGACAATGAATGTAAAGACATAAATGTCTATAAAAATACCACTTTCAATATTGCAGTCTTAATATTAATCAACAGAAATTCTGATTTACTAACAAAAGAGTAAGTATGATAAGGTTTACCTCTAATTTTTCTCTCTAAAATAAAATGGATTTTAAGGGTAATTTGTATTTTTCTATGTATACAAAATCTGACATGTCACATTTTAGAATGGATTTCTCTTGTATAGATAAATTTAATTATTTGTGAAGTTTTTATGAATAATATATTAAAGTTTGCATATAATTTAATTTAAGAAATATCAAGGGGAACTCTGGCTATGCATTCAACCAAAATTAAAAATAGTAAAGTATCTTTGAATGTCTAGAATGTACTCAACTCCATCCCAGCAAAAAGAAATAATAATAATAACATATTGGCTAATGTGACAGCATCTCATTACAGATCACTGTTTTCATGATGAACATATGAGTGAAAGACAAAATAAGTAGAAACCAGTTAGTTACTCTTTTATACTGTTTGTTGTTGTTGTTGTAAAGTGTCATCGAGTCAGTTTTGATTCATAGCCACCATGCATAGGGTTTCTGAGGAGCAGTTGGTGAGCTTAAACTGCTAACCTTGTGGTTGAAACCAACTTTGTCATCCAGCGCTTTAGCCTACAATGCCACACCAGGACTCTTAAGTATACAATCTGTATATTAGTTTTATTATGATTTAAGTTATTGACTCAACTCACCCACCACCATCACCACCAATGACAATATTTTGAGGTAGAAATAAAGATATATTTTGATGAATGAACAATGCTCAAGTTTAAAAGCCTGAGGTTTCACAGTAATGGACATGTTACCTGAAAATATTGGAGAAGTAGGTTGAAAAATGAAAATGAGGTTCTTCTGCATATTAGTTTGATATACTGAATTTGTATACATATATGACAAACTTGGTAAAAATATGATAGAAGTTTAATTTTCTAAATGGCAGACTAGAGTCAATATGATTAATGTAACTTTCATATGACTTCTGAACCTCAATCAGTGCGTCCTCCTTCACTATCTCAATAACACTGTGAATATGGGAAATAGTCACAGACAGATAACTCTGCCTCTTCTGACCTCAGTAAGGACAACAGAGAGTTAAATAATCAAAGGAAACTGGGAGGAAAACAAATGGGACACACGAGTGATTTATTTTATTTGCAGACTGATTCAGAAAAAATCAAAGCCTTGATGTATTGAATGGATTTTGGAAATATTTGATCTATGTCATGGTTGAAGCTTGAGAAAAATCTGTAGTGCAGTATAGCACAAATTCAGAATCTAAAGGCTCTTGACTTCTGGCTTATGTATCATTTAACAGGCAAAAGTGGCAAGAATAAAAATAGAAATATTCCATTAAACTGGACAATCAGGGAGGGAAGAGAATTCAGTCATAATTTTATCACCAATAAATGTAATGTACATATTCAGTAAAAGTAATTCACCTAATCAGAAAAAACATGAGCTGTGTTGGGTGGATCCATAGGATTTAGGATTAATTGAAAGAAAAACATGCTTGTCTAAAAACAATGCAATAAACAAAAAAAATTTTTTTTGAACAAGATCTCAATCTCTGCTCCAGAGTTTATACATTGAGTCAAAGTTATCAGTTAAGAATTATTGATTGTCATTAGGTGCTTTGAAATTAATTCCAACTTATAGCAACCCCATGTACAGCAGACTAAAACACTGTTTACTCCTGTACCATCCTCAGCTGTGTTGTCATGTCTGAGCCCATTGTTGAAGCCACTTTGTTAACCCAGTCTGTGGAGATTCTTCCTTTTTTGAGATGACCCTCAGCTTTACCAAAAAAAAAATACCCTTCTCCGGAGACTTTTCCCTCCTAATAGCATGTCTCAAATATTTTACACAAAAGGAATATTTTGGATGTATTTCATGCAAGACAATTTTATTCATCCCTGTGGCAGTCCATGTTTTTCTCCAACACGACAATTTAAAAAGGCACCCTGGAAGCATAGTGGTTACAATTTGGGCTGCTAACCTCAAGCAAGGTCAGCAGTTCCAATTTACTAGGCATTCCATGGAGAAAAATGAGGATTTCTGCTCCCATAAGATTTACAGCCTCAGAAACCCTATGCAGGGTCACTATGGGTCAGTGCCGACTCCATATCAGAAAACCACCACCACCACAATTAAAATGCATCAATTCATCTTTATTCTTCCTTACTCCTTGTTTTAAAATGACTGATTGTCTAAAAATTATCATATTAAAACTTTTAAGATCCAAATGTTAAGAAAAGATATGAACACAATGCTGATTTTTTGTAATAAAGTTTGTGAGTAGAGAAGAATTCTCCAGAGACAAAGGCATCATTGCCATCCATAAAATAGTACATCATCAGCAATCTATTTAAATCATATGTCAAAATACTGAGCAGAGGATGAAAATAAAACATTAAGAAACCAACAATAATGAAGACTAAAATCCTGACTATGTGAAATTTTTGAATATTTAAAGGAATCTAAAAAAAGAAATTCTTTGAATATCACATACAGATTGCACAGAAGTCAGAAGTCAGCGATGAGAAACAGAACAGTGACAACATTCATTCTGCTGGGACTGACTGATGACCCTCAGCTGCAGGTTCTGATTTTTGTCTTTCTCTTTCTCACCTACATGTTGACTGTAACTGGGAATCTGACCATTATATAATCACAATCACCATTGTGGATTCTCACCTGAAAGCACCTATGTACTTTTTCTTAAAGAAATTTTCCTTCTTAGAGAACTCATTCACTTCAGCTTGTATTCCTAGATACTTGTATAACATAGCAACAGGTGACAACAGCATTATCTATATTGCCTGTATGATCCAAGTGTTTTTTACTGGCCTCTGTGCAGTAACAGAATTTTTCCTTCTGGCTGCCATGTCTTACGACGGCTATGTGGCCATCTGCAAAACTTTGCATTATGTGACCATCATGAGCATTAGAGTCTGTAGGATTCTTATGATCTGTTGTTGGATGTCTGGTTTATGTGTCATCATTCGACCGCTTAGCCTGGGTTTAAATTTGGAATTTGTGACTCTAATGTATTTGACCACTTTACTTGTGATGCATTTCCTATTGTGAAAATCTCATGTTCAGACACATGGATTGTGGAAAAAACAGTTACCAACTGTTCCATGTTGACCCGGAATATTACTCTTACATATTCAGATTCCCCTCTGCAAAGGAAAAAGGAAAAAGCCCTTTTCAACCTGTTCTTCCACACGATTGTAGTTTCCATCACCTATGGCACCTGTATTTTAATCTACATAAATCCAAAAGCAAAGGAAGAAGTAACTGTTAATAAAGTGATTTCCTTGTTCATTTCTACTATTTCTCCTAACTTGAACCCATTTATCTATACTCTCAGGAACAATCAAGTTAAGAAACATTTCAGGGACTCAATCAAAAGACTTGGGTTTCTCTCAACAAAATAAAAGAATCTAAAATTTTGAAAAATTTGATTTAAAGAGTCATGAAACTTTGCCAAAAGCTGTCATTGTCATATTTAAATGGTTATAATGTTAAAATTCATATTAAACATATTTAAAGAGCAAAATTTGGAATACGTGAAAATAAAATGTTTAAAAATAAATTATCAACTTTTTATGTAAAACTAATCTATGGGTGTTTTAAACATATCAAATTTATAAACATAAAATAACAATTTTAATATTTAAAAATTATAAATTATTCTCATACATATGTAAAACAGTTATTATGAACATGTTTTTGTTAGAATAGTTGATAACTATGGAAAAATATTAATATTGCAAGTTTAAATTAGGCATTTGTTAAACATAAGGGAAAATAATCAAATGGTCCATTTTATTAATAGTGAAATATTAGAAAGAACTTGAAGTTATATTAGAGAATAAATTAAGATTTAAATAAATGGAAGCAATTTTTTAATTGCAGTTAATTAATTAATTGCAGTTGTTAATATTTGTGCATTTATGAATAATAGTTATAATACAGTGGGTGTATCTGAAGAGCTGAAAAGTTGGAAAGAGAAAGTTCTATAATGTAAGCAGAAGTCTTATACTCATATAACTGCATACATATAATCATATAATAAATACGTATAATATTCCAAATACCTTAGTAGATACTGTAGTTTTTTCTTTTTGTTTTAAAATTAACAATGTGTTTTAAAAAATACACTTATTTTCCTTCCATGAGTCTAGTACCATTGTATTATCTATCCTCCTATCTCCATGGACACAGTCCCTCCTGAAACCTGTGTGACTTATTTTGTGCCAAAATTTGTAAGTCAGACAATACATTAATGACTCTTGAATATAGGCCATCAGGGACCTTTTGTTTTTTCACTGCTTGTTAGTTTAGCTTTTATTTTTTAAGGGGTATGCTTGACATTGTTAAATTACTTCTTACTCTCATAATGTTTTTAGAATATCATTACCTCTAACAGTGAATGAGTTCCTGATGTTATCCATCTCTTAGAGTCATTGATATTCTGTATTCAATGATGGAGATAGTAATAAAATACTTGAGGGCTGATAATAGCACTAAGCCTGATGTGAGGAAGCCTGTGCAACTTGTTGGGGATGAAAATTGCTGAGAGCTCTACACATTGGCAGACTTAACAATGAATGTGAAGACATAAATGTCTATAAAAATACCACTTTCATTATTGCAGTCTTAATCAACAGAAATTCTGATTTACTAACAAAAGAGTAAGTATTATAAAGTTTATGTCTTATTTTTCTCTCTAAAATAGAATGGATTTTAAGGATAATTTGTATTTTTCTATGTACACAAGATCTGAAAATCACATTTTAGAATGGATTTCTCTTGTATGTTGTTGTTGTTGTTAAGTGCCGTTGAGTCGTGTCCGACCCATAGCGACCCTGTACAGGGTTTC